GTTTCTCTCTCTTCCTGACCTGAAAAAAGACATTCATCATGGTGGTCAAATGGCTCTACATATACAAACACATTAGGTGCTACACCCACATGACTAGACCCAGAAGTGTAGCGACCAGGGAATTCTGTACCCAATACACAAATGTTTCGGACAAAATGGTTATTTTTAAATTTTCTCTCTCGATCCCTTTTAGTTGTGCACCAAATTTATCTTAGTTTAAGACTATTTATGGGGTGGAACCTGGGAAACAAGCTACCTCTGCTTTAGTTTTAAGCAGTCCCCTTTTGACAGAAGGAGAGACAAATGTGAGAAAAGTGAAAAAAATAACAGTTCACTAAAAACTAAAGTATCAATTAATACCAAAAATACAAAGGCTCTAAATCAAAGACAAACAGTCCCCCAGACACAACGAAAACAAAATGTCAGAGAAGCCCCTCTCCCCAGGTGGACTGCACGTACGGCCTGGACTTTGTCCTTTGTCCAAGAACAAGGACAGTGTGACAGGGAAGCCCCCTCCCCCAGTATGGCAGCCTCTCTAGAAGACCATGTAGCCCAGAGGACAAAGACAAGATGGAGAAGTCCACTTCTTCTGACAGTGTGGTGGAGAGGGGGAAGAAAGGAAAAACACAGCAAAGAACCTTCCAGGTTTACAGAACTCCCTCTTCACCCCCAAAAAAGCAACCAACGTGAAACAGGGACAGAAGTAAAACCTGGAAGAGCCCTTTTCTTGTCAAGCTTGGCAGGGACAGAAGTAAAACCTGGAAGAGCCCTTTTCTTGTCAAGCTTGGCAGATGGGTGAGCAAGGCAATGCGAGGCATGGGAGTGGAGGAAGGGCAAGGGAAGAACACAGAGGGGTGCATAAAGAAATGCAAGGCTGGGGTAGGCATGGGAAGGCAAATCAAAGGAGGGATAAGCCTTGCAAGAGATGGCCAGGAAGGAAAGCAGTAGACAGGTCAAGGGAGGGAGGATGGGTATGCAAGGTAGAGCAAGGCAAATCAGGGGTTGGGCAAAGCAAGTGAGAAGTACATCCAAGGGTTGCTCCCAGACCAAAGCTGCCAGGACATACTGGTCTGCCTGGCATTAATCTCTTCTGGGCTTCCTCTCATCTGCACCTGAAACACTGGGACTTTACTTCCTATGGAGTCATTCTTGTCCACGAGCTCATGGCCGAAATTTTGATTCCACCTCCAAAATGCAACACATCCAAGAACTGTTCCCGGGTGAAAGCTGCTGGGACAGATGCGTCTGGCTGGCCTTGGCCTCCCCTGGGCTGCTTCTCATCTATACCTGAAACTTCATAGCAGGGAAATTTCCTTCCATAGCAGGGCATCTCACCCTTCCACAAGGGCTTTTGTTTGTTAACCAGTCAGATAACTCAAACAGGACAAGCTGTCTGTCAGGGAGTTATTCTGGCACCATGGGTTTAACACTGGTCTGGTGTCCCCCAAATGCCAATAAACATCTTACTGTTGAAGTGAGATCTGGCAACATAAATCAGATTTTTTTTTTTTTCTGGTTAAAACATTTTCCTTTATTTTGCACAAATTTCTTTCCATCATGTATGTCTCATTCCATTGCTTTGTGATTTGATTTTTTAACAAATTGTTATTAACAAATCAGAGGGCATCTCTGATTTACTATCCCTCCCTTGAGAGTAGGTGGGGGAGGACAGTGGCTTATTTGGAGTTTAGCTCCTCATTTGTTGTTGAAACCAAAACAGACACCTTTTGGGGGGTGGAAGTCCCCTGTGAGCCCCTCATCCTCCTCACACCTGCTCTTCCACTGCACCATTGCCCACCCCCCACTCTGACATTCAGATGTCCCTATAGACATGATCTCACTCCAACCTCCCAAAGAGGCACAAAACAAGGGAAAGAGCTCTGACCAGCAGATAATTATTTTTAACACTGCCATTTAAAATGGAGAAACTCCTCCCCTGCAAAAAAAAGATAAGGCATCCCCCCACAACAGATCGAGTCCTTGCACTGCTGCTACACACCACACTTAATAAATAAACCAGTCAATAAAACTGAAGTGTAGAGCTTTTAAGAGTAAAATAAAGAACAAATCTCAGGAACTGACTTTATCCTGAGGAGAGAGGTGAATGTAGTTATACACACACAGTAAAAATACTCCTATGACAGAAGTCTTTAATCCTCCTTTTGCATTAACTGAACTTGCTCAGCTGTAAACTGATACCAATTAATTTTTCATCCCCAAAATACATGGTTTTATCCTGACGAGGGGTTTTTGTGTTACAGAGTAAGGAGGTACATCTGCACTTGGCCAGCTGCACTGCCCAAGAGAGATGCTGCTGGGACACACACACATTGGAAGTGAGACCACTCATGCAGAAGCAATGCCAGCCACGTTTGGAAGGTGTGCTGAGCTGGGGTCTCTTTCTAGCCAAAGTCAAAACTACACTCAGGAGGGCAGCAATTCCCCATCCCTCAGTGGAGCTTTTAGAGGGCAGAGGGGTCTGAAGCCATTCTCAAGAGAAGCTGCATCAGCTAACTGCACCATTCCTGCAGCTGGCAGGTTACTCTCCATCATCTGCAAGAAAACTCCCTAGTCAGAATCACACTGGACACTACAGAGGTTTTCCACCACAACCCTGCCCTCAAAAGCTCCACAGCCTTCTGCTCACCTGTTCTGATAGGACGCTGCAGCTGTCATCACTCGTGGCACCAAAGTTACCAAAAGACAGAAAACTACCACTGCACTTGTGGGAAATCACCAGCCCTGAGCTCCTCCTCACCATGGCCCAGCTCAGCTCAAATCCTTGTCCAATTCCCAAGGCTGCCCACACAGCACCTGCAAAGCCAAAGGGAAATACTTAACACAGATGCCACACATTTCTCTGCTCTCAGACACTGACCCAACCAACAACCACAGAACATTCTTGGAACCTCTTCTAAAAGTGTGGGATCACCCCTCCTTAACCCAAGGCAGAGTCTTCCAGAAAACAGTCACATGAGTGGCAATGGAGCTGTGGGATCTCTTCTGGCCTGAAAGCCATCACACACTGACCAGCAGTACCTAGACAGGGGCTTACTGGGGAGGAATGAAACAGGTCCCAAAAATGTTCTTGATTCACAGAAAAAGGTCTGAGGTTCTAAGAGCCAGGACATGTAGGGCATCAGTGCTTCAAGACCGCAAAGAGCCTGCCCTGGCTGCAGCAAGCCATGCAGAGAGGTGGGGTGGCAGAGAGAATATTAAGTGGCCTCAATGGCCAACAGGGACTAGACCTCTATCTTGCTTTTCATTGTCTGCGGCATAGAGAACCTCTGCCTGAAGCAGCAGGGAAAGAAGAAAGTGGCTGTAGGAAGAGGTGTTGGCACAGGCTGGGAGTGGGGAACTCCAGTGGATGGGTTTGAGGCAGCACACACAGCCAGTGACAGGGCCCAGGACTGGTGTACATGGGCTGTTCATCTGGGTGTGTGCAAGGGACAAAATGTGTACAGAAGATGACCCTGGGGCCCTTTTCCCACCAGCTGCCTGAGGGCATGGGGAAGCTCTCCAAGCTTCCTGCAGTGCTGGAAATGCCAGCAGGTTTCTTTTATTACTGACTTTGCACCAGGGATGTCAGGAAATGACCAGACCCACTGTCAGCAGAAAGCTGGAACATGCCCAGGGGAGGGGGTTGTGGGTGGGTGTAGTTAAGCAAAGCATCCCCACTACAGGGATTTTCCTGTCTGTGCACCTGATTCCTGAGGAATTTAACCCTGATGCTCCTCCATGCACTGCACCCTCATGGCTTTACAAGCCCACCATGGACCTGGGCGGTCTGGTGGGCCAGGGAACAGCATCAACAGGGCAAAGCAGCAGCTGTGACATCCTCTATCAAATCAGGTCTGTGGTGTCTCCAGAGCAATCTGTCCCACAGGGCAGGCAGCACCTGGAGGGGACCCTGAGATAGGATAGAAAACTGCAGCAGGCAGATGGGAGCTGGAGGCAGCACAGGGGCAGAGCCCCACAGACAGGCCCCTCTGGGCACTAACACGCTGTGCTGCTGGGATTGCTGCAGCTGCAGAGGAGAGAGGGGTTCCACCTCCAAAGGGGCTGGACAAGGCACTTTGGGACTTCTGGTTGTTCTTTTTTCTGTTTGCTTGTTTCTCCATTAGAACACAGAGGACACCTCACAGCTGCTGCTGCAGCCACCGAATCCTTTGCCCAGAGGGCTGAAGCACGGCGCAGGCAGCACCTCGCAGGGGACTGTGCCATCCCAACCCAGCCGCTGTTCTGGGGGTTCGGGGTTGTCCTTTCCCAAGCTCTGGGCTGCTGCTGGCATTGGACTCTGCTCAGCTCCTTTTGCTCTTCGGGGTGTCGTACTTCCTCTTGCTCGAGTACCAGAGCAGCAGGGGGATCCCGATGGAGGGCAGGGTCATCACGCCAAATGCCACCCAGTCCAGCTAGAGGGAGAAATTGTTAAGAGAAAAGTCAAAACAATCCAGGCCAGAGGAGTCTTAGAGCAATGAGGTCAGAGGAGGAGAGTGAGGGGAGACCTCACACTGTCTGCAGCTTCCTCACACAGGGAAGCAGAGGGGCAGGCGCTGACCCCTGCCCTAGGTGACCATGACAGGACCCCAGGGAGCACCCACAGCTGTATCAGGACAGCCAATATTAAGGCTGGATATTAAGAAAAGGCTCTTTCTCCCAGACGATGGTCTCCCAGGCACTGGAAGAGGCTCCCCAGGAAAGAGTCACAGCACCGAGCTTGACAAGAGCTCAAGGAGTTTGGATAGGACTGACAGGCGCATGGTTGGGATTCCTGGCATTGTCCTCTGCAGGGCCAGGAGTTGGACTCCACAATCCTTGTGGGTCCCTTCCAGCCTAGGAGGCTCTAGGATTCTACTCTCAGATTTTCTGGCTCAAATGCCACAGCGCAGCTCCTCCACCAGCGGGCGGCGGGGCAGCGCAGGAGGCGTGTCCTGCGCAGGCGCGGAGTCCCTGCGTCTGCACGGGCCTGGACTCCATTTCCCAGGGGGCATAGGGCCCCCGTGAGGCGCGCTTCGGTGCGTCATTTCCGCCGCGGTGGCGCTGCCTCGTCCTTGCGGCGTTGGCGGCGGCAGAGGCGGTGAGGGGCGGTGAGGGCCGGGGCCCGGGGGCCTCGGGACGGAGCGGGGGCGCTGGGGGGCGGCTGTAGGAGCGGGTTGGGCCTGGGCTCCGAGGGGGCGGGAAGGACCGGCCGGTTTCTGGCGCTGGAGCGTCAGAGTCGGGGTGTTCCGGGGGCAGCGGTGGGTGAGGCCGGGCGGTTCCCCGTTGGAAAGTGTCCCTGAGCCCCTCTGGGCCCCTGGGTGAGTGGGCAGGAGCAGCCTGGCTGCATGCGCTGCTGGGCTGCGCAGGGCAGGGCTGGGGAAGGAAGGGGCTCCTGGCACCCCCACTGGGACGGGCTGGGCAGGCGGGTCGGTGCCAAGCCCAGGAGGTTCAGCGAGGCCAAGGGCAGGTGCTCCACCTGCACTGGGGCAACCCGAAACGCAAACAGACGGGAAGAATGGATGGAGAGCAGCCCTGAGAAGGATTTGGGGGATGGGTTGACAAGAAGCTCAGCATGCCGTGGCAACGTGCACTGGGGGCCCAGAAAGCCAACACTGTCCTGGGCTCGTCCCCAACAGCGTGGGCAGCGTGTGAAGGGGAAATTCTGCCCCTCTGCTCTGCTGAGACCCTCCCCTGCAGAGCTGCCTCCAGCTCTGGGTCCCCAGCACTGGGAGGACGAGGAGCTGCTGGAGTGAGTCCAGGGGAGGCCACGGAGATGATCCAGGGGCTGCAGCCCCTCTGCTCTGGAGACAGGCTGGGAGAGCTGGGGGTGTTGAGCCTGGTGAGGAGAGGATTCCAGCAAGACCCTAAAGCCCCTTCCAGGGCCTACAGGGATCCCAAGAGAGTTGGAGAAGGACTTTGGACGAGGGCCTGGAGTAACAAAATAAGACTTGCCGCTGCCAGAGAGCAGAGTTAGATGGGATATTGGGAAGAAATTGATCTCTGTGAGGGAGGTGAGTCACTGGCACAGGTTGTCCAGAGAAACTGGCTGCCCCATCCCTGGAAGCATCAAAGGCCAGGTTGGATGGGCCTTGGAGTGACTTGGTCTAGTGGAAGGTGTTCTTGCCCATGACAGGGGGTGCAATTGGACGTCCTGTCCAACCCCAGCCACCCTGTGACTGTGGAGTCCAGAGGCCCTGACATTGAAGCACTTTTTGCATTTAAAATCCCCATCAAATGGGGCTGGTCACATCTGTAGTGTTCCTGTTGTCTCCTTGTCCTCTCAGCAGGGTGGCTTCAGAGGCACTGTGTTTGGGTAAGATGGGCCACGTGGCCTGAAGCAGGGACTTGTGCAGGAGATCATAAAAGCCACTGGAGGGAGTTGGTGGTTCCTCAATGGGTGGAAATAGGGAAGAAAAAATGTTGGAAGTGAGGAGCTGTGCTTTTGAGAATAACTAATTCTGTTGTGTTGCCAGGCTTTGCAAGGGCAATTAACCATTAGTTGCTAAAACTGATGAAATTGTTAATTACCAAAGCTTTTGCACTGGAAGAGGCTCAGTGATCTGAAAGCTTTGCCCATTACTGAGATGTGCAGGGCCAGGGGTTGGACTTGATAATCCTTATGGGTCCCTTTCAACTCAGGATGTTCCATGATTCTGTAAAGGGCAGTGATACTGTCCAGGGCTTTGAAAGGGGAGAAGACCATCAACTTTTCTTCCTTGGCTGTAGGTCTGGGACACTGCTGTGCCAATTCTTACATCCTCACAGGCAAGTGCTCAGAGATTTCAGATGATCAGTGACATTCCATTTCCTTGCGTTTCTAGATGAAGCTCCCACTTCTTGCCGTGTTTGCCCTGGTGTCTGTGGCTCGCTGTGAGGATGGCGCCAGGCTCCTGGCCTCCAAATCCCTGTTAAACAGATACGCAGTGGAGGGCAAGGACTTGACTTTGCAGTACAACATCTACAATGTTGGCTCCAGGTAAGCCCTGTCCAGGCTTCAGTACTGACTACAAGCAAATGTTCTCATAGTCTCCCAATGGGTGGCTGCAGGGTACAAGGTGATTTCTGAGCTCTATGATATGTGATATCCCTCTAACTCGGAGCTTTCCAGCAGTGCCTGAAGGATTGACCCTGAAATTTACCTATTCCTTCCTCTTCCATTGTCCCTGCTTTCACCTCATGGCTGCTCAAGCTGTCAGTCCAGCATGGTATAGTTCCTGTGGTGTCCTGTGACACTGCTCCCCCTGCATGCAGCTCACAAAGCTCTTGGCTTTGTGAAAATTCCTTTTGCTATCAGGACTTAACTAAGGACCCGACAAAGATAGAACAGAACTTCCACCATGCTGGTAAAAAGCTTCAGGCCAGAATGAAAAGCTGATTGAACAAAATATAGGACACTATTAAAGTGCTTTGGGATTTTGGTTTTAGATTTTTTTAAGGCAGAATAATGCATGCTGAATGCAGTACTGCTAAGAGAAGAATATGTGGTGCTGTAATGTTGGATTAATACAACATTAATGAGCTCCTGTAATTTTATATGTGCGATTTGGTTATTTTTTAGGCCAACATGTGTATCCATGGAATGGTATCTGAAGTTCAGCAAACTGCCAAATCCTATTGCGGAAAAAAATGGTGTTTTTCCTGTCATTGTTGTTGTTTCTCTCAGCTTTGCCTTCCTCCCTCTGCAGTCTCCCTGTAAGATACCTCAACTCTCCTCCCCGTCTTCTACCAGTGACATTTCATCTCTCAAAAATTAGTTCTTCTTCTTGGTCAAGATGGAACTGTCAGTGTACTTTGCTGCAGAGCCTGTGAAGCAGATGGCAAAGCTTAAGATTCCTGTCTCATCCCTCTCTTTGTTGTGTTTAGCGCTGCCCTAGATGTGGAACTGTCGGATGATTCCTTCCCCCCAGAAGATTTTGGCATCGTCTCTGGCATGCTCAGTGTCAAGTGGGACAGGATTGCTCCGTATCTTTTAATGTTTTGAAATTTCTCCCAACTCTCTTTCTTGCCCCTGAGCATCCTGCAGCTTTGTCCTGTTTTCATCTGCTTTCCCTGAAATTCCTTCCAGAGCCTGGACAGGATGCCACATCCAAACCCCTGCTCTTCTGGATGGTGCAGTGTAAAAATAAAGTTCCTTGCAGACAGGCCCAGGTCCTGGCGTAGTTCCTCTGCCTGTGGAGGAGCAGCTGGTTCAGCCTCAGGCAGGTCTGGCTGTCTGTGAGCACGAGCACTCAAATTTGTCAGCAGCACTGACTTTTGCACGTGGCACCTGGTTGCTCTTTCCCGTCTCCTCACTTTTCTTCCTGGGACGAAATACAGCAGTGTTCCTTAACGTCCAGCTCCCAGAGCGAGCAACGTGTCCCACACCGTGGTTCTACGGCCTCTCAAGGCTGGGTACTTCAACTTCACCTCTGCCTCCATCACGTACCTGGCTCAGGAGGGTGCCCCGGTGGTGGTAAGTGGCTGATTTATGGGATCCCTGCAGATACACCTGGCGGCGCTCCTGGAGGTGCATGGCTGGGGATGATGCATGTCCGTGTGCTCTCCCCCTGCCCAGTTGTGGAGAGAGGAGGAGAGGTGGCAAAGCCTGTCTTTTCCCTGCCTTTTCCAGGCTGGCTTCACCAGTGCTCCCGGACAGGGAGGAATCCTGGCTCAGCGTGACTTCGACAGGAGGTTCTCCCCTCACTTTGTAAGTACTTTCAATTGGCAATGGAGAAGTGCACCACGGCAGCTGCAGCTCAGTGTGGTGGCTTCCTGCTTGCACGTGGTGTGTGTGGCTTGCCCTGCAGTCGCCTGGAGAGCTCCAGTGGGAGCTGGAGTTAATTCCTATCAGTTCTCCAGAGGACTGTCACAGAAACAGCTGAGTTTCCATCCCAGCTCCCTGTGTGAAGGAGCTGCGCTGTGGCATTTGAGCCAGAAAATCTGAGAGTAGAATCCTAGAGCCTCCTAGGCTGGAAGGGACCCACAAGGATTGTGGAGTCCAACTCCTGGCCCTGCAGAAGACAATGCCAGGAATCCCAACCATGCGCCTGTCAGCCCTATCCAAACTCCTTGAGCTCTTGTCAAGCTCGGTGCTGTGACTCTTTCCTGGGGAGCCTCTTCCAGTGCCTGGGAGACCATCGTCTGGGAGAAAGAGCCTTTTCTTAATATCCAGCCTTAATATAGGCTGTCCTGATACAGCTGTGGGTGCTCCCTGGGGTCCTGTCATGGTCACCTAGGGCAGGGGTCAGCACCTGCCCCTCTGCTTCCCTGTGTGAGGAAGCTGCAGACAGTGTGAGGTCTCCCCTCACTCTCCTCCTCTGACCTCATTGCTCTAAGACTCCTCTGGCCTGGATTGTTTTGACTTTTCTCTTAACAATTTCTCCCTCTAGCTGGACTGGGCGGCATTTGGCGTGATGACCCTGCCCTCCATCGGGATCCCCCTGCTGCTCTGGTACTCGAGCAAGAGGAAGTACGACACCCCGAAGAGCAAAAGGAGCTGAGCAAAGTCCAATGCCAGCAGCAGCCCAGAGCTTGGGAAAGGACAACCCCGAACCCCCAGAACAGCGGCTGGGTTGGGATGGCACAGTCCCCTGCGAGGTGCTGCCTGCGCCGTGCTTCAGCCCTCTGGGCAAAGGATTCGGTGGCTGCAGCAGCAGCTGTGAGGTGTCCTCTGTGTTCTAATGGAGAAACAAGCAAACAGAAAAAAGAACAACCAGAAGTCCCAAAGTGCCTTGTCCAGCCCCTTTGGAGGTGGAACCCCTCTCTCCTCTGCAGCTGCAGCAATCCCAGCAGCACAGCATGTTAGTGCCCAGAGGGGCCTGTCTGTGGGGCTCTGCCCCTGTGCTGCCTCCAGCTCCCATCTGCCTGCTGCAGTTTTCTGCAGGGTATTGTTAAGAATGTGTTCAGTCTCCTGTGAAAATTTAAAAAGTTTAATAAAGGACAATATGAGACAAGGACAAGCAAAGGTTGTTACAGCTGTGTGTATCTTGGTACTCAGCCAAGAGTGCACTGTTACTTTCAGGGATACCCCTTAAATACCTTCCCCTTACCTCAACCTGTTCCATATTTATAGACCCTTATGCATATCCATATTCCCTTATTGCAGCGTGCGCCGTGGTGGGCGGCTGCGGCAGGGACTGTTCCCTGCGAGCTCTGCAATTCCCACCTATCGGCAGGTCTGGCGCAGGGACAGACAGCGATGACACGGGTCTTGGTGTAGAAAAGATGGATTTATTCCTGGGCTCCCAGACAGACTTGGGGCGGTGAACAGAAGCTTTTAGACAGCAGCTCAGGAGGAGGGTGTAGGAAAGTGAACCAGTGAGGATATGGTAAGGGAGGAATATAAGGTGGGGCAAATAGCTTATGAGCCTTATCAGGGAAAATGGGGAGGGGAATAATACACAGTAACAAATGGGGCCTCGAGGGCAACAAAACAGACAGAACTGGAGAAAGGGATGGGATAGGGATAGGGATAGGGATAGGGATAGGGATAGGGATAGGGATAGGGATAGGGATAGGGATAGGGATAGGGATAGGGATAGGGATAGGGATAGGGA